GGTTCAGAGAGATGATGCTGAAGTTGTCAAATATGAGTCTTGGCTCTGATGTCAGGCCTGCCCCCTTGACCACCTACGCTTCAGCCTTTACATTGCCCTGATTCTTCCATTTCCCCACAAAACATGTAAGAAATCTGTCTGGTAGCGCTGACCGGGTTCTAAAAATATGAAAAGGCAAGGAACCTTAATATGAAAAAAACTGTAGTCTTTATAAGGCCTTAAAATAKTATGTAACAAATTATAAAAACATTTAAGTTAATTCCTAATTGTCTCAATATTTTTACATGTATTAGAGCAAACATGTTCATCAAGCAAGATTAATTTTAAGAATCATGTCATATAACACTCTGTAAAGGGGGCATTTAAATTTCTTTAAGCATTTTCCTCAAATAAAATGTACTTCTTCCTCCCAATCCCACTAAATAAATACATATCAAGTAGGGAGAAGTTTTCCTTGTCTTTCAAATATACTTTTATGTGTTTGTATGGCACTAGAAATTGAACCTACAACCTTGCACTAACATGCTAGGCAAGTGCTGTAACACTGAGCTATACATCCAGCCCCAAAATGTCCTTTTTAATGGATTTTTAAGTCTATTTGGAAACAAGTAAATTAACTTGACCAAGGTAGTATCTCCATGTCTAAAAATTTAAAGTTAAATTAAAACCAATACATTAACTCATTCTAAGCTTCAGGATCCAAAATCGGGCTTCATGGGAATAGTCAGGTGGACACCGTAAGTCTGGGAGGTCAGAGATAAGATTAGAGAAGCCAGGGTAGAAAGCATTGAATAAATGCCTAGACAGCATTTGGGAAGATGAAGAAAGAAGGGTGAAAGAAGATAAGAGAAAGCATTTAGGACAAAGGATGACAAACACTGAAAAAAAAAATTATCAACTAAGGTAAGAAAAGCAGACAAGGGAGCAAGATAGGTCAAAGGGAGGATCCAACTAAGTGTAATGTCAATGATAAAAAGCAAGCAGTAACCAAGCAACATGCTGGGTGAACTCTGATACCAGTGTACTTTTTCTACAGACCTTGTTTTACTTGCTGGTGGGAGTATTAGTGCTGCAGTCAGATATTAATTGTTATGAAAAGGAAATCAAAAGCCTGCAGATAGGCTCTGCCCTTGATTAATTAGCTCCCAGATGCTGGTTGAGGCAGAAGCTTGAGCTTAGTTATAGATCATGAAACAGACTTCTAAGGAAGTCTCGATAGCCTAACCCTTTAAAAAAAAGGAATGAGGATCCTTTTCCAATTCTCAGTGAGGCAAGCAGCCAACTTCCTAACATGTTTGATCAGCAAGTGGGGTTTAGAAACAACACGTTCTATCCACTTTTTCTGCTCAAACTTCTCAAAGCTGGAAGGGGAGGTGTGAGCCTCCCACTTCCATGACACTTTGCATTACAAGCCCATGCTCCCTACCCAGCCTACGAAAGTGGACATGACCTAAATCCATCAGCCAATTTGTTCAGGATCCATTTGTCTTCTCACTTAGCCAGCAGAGAAAAGTCTATTGCTCTTGTGAAATCTGTTTTCAAATCTGAGTTCACTTCTTCCTCTTCCATCAAAACTGTTTTGCTTTGAAGTATACAAAACTGGTGGGAAGTCCCCATTTTTGCATCTACCCCATCCAGCTGCCGTTCAGTTATATGCATCCTATACCTCTCAGGCATCAGGTGTGCTCTTCTGTCCCACCAACAGGGATCCAGCCTAAATGAATTCTTAATATGTAAGATATGGGATATTAATCTGGAAGGAAAGGTGAATGGAGACACTGAGCTCTCTATCAACTGTATACCTCAGAACAGAAACAGTAATAGAATAGAAATAGAAACTTGTTTTGAACACGTATACTTAATTATGTTCTGGGTCTCAAAATAAAAATGTATTTTGTACTGTTGTCATCCAGAAATGTTTGAAAAACTGCTTTAGAAATAACCTTTTTTTTTTTGTCATTTCGTCAAATCTGCCCCCCGCTTGACATTGGTCCCATTGTTAAGCATCTCTTTGCCCCCATGCAGGATATCAAGCTCTGAGAAGACTCCCAGATATCTTCATTGGCTATTTTCAAAAACCTTGGCCTTTTACACAGATTTCACAAGCTCCTTCTCATGTATCCAACAGGRCTGCCTTCTCCCTGAACAGTCTAGCATTCTGAGCAAAGAAACATCTTTTGCTATTTCTGCCTTATCCTGCTTCCTCAGGTCTGGGATCTTCTTGTAGCACATCCAACTGTCTCACCAGGAATAGCAGGCCTCAGAGCAGTAGGACTTCATTTCTTTGTGTGCTACCTTTCATCCCCACAAGAAAAAGTACCACCAAAGTCACTCTTGAAATAACCTCAGGCTTTCTTGCAAAATTAGCCTCACTTTTCCTGTCATGATGCATTCTCTGGTGTAATACATACCTCCAGTGCCTGTTACCGATGCCAGGTGAACATAGTCATCCCTACTGTTCAGTTAAAGTCTGTTTCCCTTTCTGTGAACAGATGGTTACTTCCACCTCCGTATTGTTAACTTCTTCYGCTCACAGGACAAATGGAAGGAGGAAAAGCACAACAAGGTGACTATACCAGCTTAGTGGGATCCTTTCCTCTCTCAAGGACAAGGGTACAAGCTGTCTAGCACAACTCCACCCCTACGCCTGCCCTCCCTTGTCCAAGTGCCCACAGTTCTCACCAAGACAATTAACTCATTATCTTTCTCAAGAAAAACTAGTTTTCTGTATCTTAGTATAGACTATTCAGCTTACTTTTCTCAGCCAAACTAAGTATCCCACTTCTTAACCTTCCAAGAGATACTGAAGCCTAAATGAATTCTTAATCTGTAAGATATGGGATATTAATCTGGAAGGAAGGGTAAATGGAGACTTTGAGGGTTTCTTGCAACTTAAACTGATTGGTTTCCTCTATTAAAGGGAAAGCCAGCTTTGAAAGGAGGACATAGACACCAGACCTCATTCAGAGCATGGAGGGAAGAGAGTGAACAGATCTGATAACTGTAGAATAGGTGCATTTGATACTGAGGGCCAAAAAACACTCTCTAAGAGAAAGGGATAGGGTGCCCATCGCACCTTAGGTTCACTCTAGAATTTGCCTCAAAACTGTACTATATCCTTTTTGACACCTGGCCCTCTCCCACTCCCAATCAGGAATCCAGGGCTCCTTTACACTTTAGTTATCTGGCTGTAGAGGGCCTTCCATCCCCTCTGAAGCCCATACTTCCTCTTTCCCACTCCTTTGCAGGAATGTTCCCAATCAGTTAAGGACTGAGTTAGACTTCAGATGACTCCCCTTGGTAATCAAATTAATCTCTCCAAAGGAGATTTCAGAAAAATGAAGGAAAAAATATGCCAACTCTTCCATTTGTACCCTGGGTTCTATTCAGAAAACCCCGACAAAGATTCAGCTTCTCTGGAGTTTAGAAAACATTTCAGCCCCATGACCACAGCCGTACCTAGACACTTCCAAGTAAGTATAGAGCTTTAGCAGCCAAAAGCTATAATTCTTTCCACCAGGGTAAAGAAGGCTTAGAAGGAAAAGAAAGAAAAATGATGATAATGACTAAGCAGCTGGGTTCAAGGCAGTCAGCCTAGACAGAAAACTCATGCAATTTGACACAGTAAAGATTCAAAACTCTGGAAGGAGGCGATGTGGCAAAAGGAGTTGCAGAGATAGGAATAAGAAAAAAAAAGCATCMTCAAAATAAATTATCCTCTGGATCATCATATGGTGCAAGAGAGGGATGGCAAACTAAAATCCATGGTTCTTCAAGTCATTCTTTCAAAGTTTCTAACATGACAAGAGTTCACATTTCTAATTTAGTTCCATCCATTTAGGAAAAACAAGGGGAAAGATTATTTACCTCATATAAAGCATACTTAAAAGGGAACTGGAATTCTTCAATTCATTACATTGGCTACACAAAGGTAAGGCTATATTCCACTCCATATGCTTACATAGCAGTTATCTCATCTAAAACACCCCCATAAAAGGTTCACTCTTCTCAAACCCATTTGTGGCTACATAAAAGGTTTTATTAAAATGACACTTTTTTTGGTCTACTTCACACTTCAATTCCCACTATCCACACAAACTAATTCCCACTATCCACACAAACTCTTCCATCTTGCCCCTCAATTGCTCTCTGGATATAAACACTTGTCAAAGATCACTCTTTAAATTGTACAATTTTATATTTAAAAAAGTGCACATTAACTCTCAAACATTGTATAATTAAGAAAATACAGACCAGCCACAGTGACCCTTAAATGAACCTAGACAAATAAAAGTGCTTTCACAGAGGATTCCTACAGTTTTGGAACTGGCATTACAAACCCCATTTCAAGGTCGGGTAAACCGAGGCACTTAGTTTTAATAAACTTGGCAGGGGTTTCAGTGGTAGAGCTGGAAAGAGAAACCAATTTCTCCCTGACTGAGCTGGGTCCCTTTCCCACTGGACTCTTCTGCACTCGGGTGGCTAAAAATGGGACCCACTTGAGAGCTGCAARGGTAAATAAAAGCTACTTGTTTGGGAAGAAGATCGGGGCTGCGGGAGGCTGGGGGGGGCGGTTACCCACTTGATGCGCCTGCTTGTGTGCAGGTCTCMAGCAAAAAAAGAGCTTTTCCTGGATACCCAAAGGTTGCACCCACCCGCTTTGGGCTCAGACCCCGGAGACGCCTCCGACAGGGAGGGGATCCCAGATCGCGCAGCCGGGAAACGCAAATGGAACGCGGGGCGGCGCGGGGGCCGTGGGCCCGGGACTCCATCTGCTCCCGGAGCGGCGCGGGGGCCGGCGGGCGAGGAGGATGCTGCGGCCGCCCCGCACCTGCAGCAGCCCGCCCGGGGCCCTGCCGCCTCCCGCGCGGGACGCCCCCCAGCCTCGGGGCGCGGGAGCCCTCGGCCGCGCTAGGCCGGCTGTGGGAAGCCGCGGCGACCTGCCCGGGTGGCGCGAGGCGAGCCCGCCCTTGTCCCCAACCCCTTCCAAACGGCGTCACCTGTGCCGGGTCCCGGGGCGACTTGGGCACGGGCGGCGACAGCGCCGGGCCGGGAGTGGGCGGCAGTGGTTACAGGCTCCTGGTCATTCGGCCCGGCCCGAAGGCTGGTGCCGGCCAGAGCCACCCCCGCGAGACGCTCGCGGGAGCCAGGGAAGCCGCGGGCTCCSGGCCGCTTGGAGGAGCAGTCGCCGAGGCTTCAGCTGCCGCGCGGCCGCCGCGCCCGCCCGAACTGCGGGCTCGGGTTACCGCAGAGCGGCTCCTTAAAGGGGCCGCGGCGGCTCCGGCTCCGGCTTCGGTTCCCCACGTCTCCGACCCCTGGGCCAAAGTGGGCGGGGCCCCGAAGATGTCCCAGGGGCCCACCTCCGGGTCCTGAAACTGAAGTCCCTGAAAAGGACTCCAAATCGCCCACACCTGAGGTAGGCTGCCGTGGGATCCTGGAAGATCACACCTCACCAGCGGCACAGCATGTGGTTCCCGGGATCTCCAAAGCAAGTAACCAAACTCAGGAGTGGAGAGAACTGTGAGTCCGCCTCCGCAGCGGTCTGCACCGGGACTAGCCACAAAACCAGAAATCTTTTTAGATTATGAATTGACATTCTGCCCTAAATATCCAAATACTGTGTTAATGAACAGCATGATTTGATCACCAGAAAGGAGACGAAAGGGCAGCTGCTGCTTCTTCCTGCCACGTCTGTCATGGCCAAAGTCGAGACCCGCCCCATTCTCGTTTGGGGCTGCAGGTGCATTCCAAACTGGGTAGGAGGCATGTGGTAGAGGCCTGTTCTCRCTGAGCAGCCTCCTCCAGAATTCCTGAAAAACATTCTTTATGGCTGCACCAGCGCTCTACCTACACCGACCTGGAGCCCCTCWGTTGTCTGAAGCAAGATTTGAAATTTTGAAGCTGGCTAAGAATCCCAAATTGCCCAGAGCATAAACTTTGCCTTTAAATATATTTTCAACCTTTTATATATGGCAACGAAAACTGGATCAACCACAAAGAATTGTGTGGAATAAAACAAAATAATAAGTGTAGTGGCTATTATAATTTGCAAAGAGCAAAGTCTCCCCCCCCCCGCTTTTTTTTTTTTTTTTGAAAGAACATAAGTTCTAAATAAGTAATTTGTAAACATCACCGTTAACGACACAGGATAGTTACTTGTGAGAAATATCCATTAATAGAGCTAACATATTTGACCTAATATATACATGCAGATCTACTTCAAATTTGGGCCAGAACACATACACACACCCACACACACACAACAAAAAAACAAAAAACCTCACACACCCTGTCCATATTTATTTTCAAGGGAAAAGCAATATAATTGAAATCAAAACCTGACATTCCATCTATTTATTAGAGCTGTGTGACTTTAGCTAACTGAATTTTACTGAGGCTCAATTTATTCATCTACAAAATGGTAATAATAATTCAGTTACTTCTGAAGACCCAGTCTTAGCAAAAGAAGCTCAGACTAACTTGGAAAATACAAAATGTGCTATAGGGACAGAAACCTGTCCTGTATTCAGGAAGGGAGGAAGATCCATCCTGCAGGCCCCCAAATGCATATTCCCTTTTTCCTTCCTAAGATTCAGAACATACCAGGCAGGGCAGCAGTGCTCTTTGACCACACTTGTTTCATCATAGTTGCTTCACAATGTGTGTAGTACCTGACAATTTTGGTTATTTCTTAACTCCTTGGGCAGGATGGTTGTATGTGGACATACGTGGGGTCAGCCCACAGAGAGGATAGATTTCAGTGTCATCTCAGGACTCTGGATCAAAACTACCCCCCTACAGACAGACAGAATGTCAGTGGTGGCTGTTAGTTGTTTGGTTCTATTCTGTTAGTTGTTAGTTATTCTGTTATTATTATTATTAATAATTTGTTAACAATAGCAAGAACTCAGGCCAAGTAAACCCACAGAATACACTATATGTCCCACTGTATTCCTTCATGTTAGGCCTCTATAAATGCATCACCAAACTGCAAGAAAGACAAAGCCTGAGATTCAAAAGGATTATTAGTTAAATATTAAATGTAAATATTACTTAAATGTTAAAATTTGAAAACTAATCAAAACTCAGTGACCTTGAGGGACAGACTATATCAACTACATTTTTTCCTGAAAATTTTACTGCAGCATAATTTCTTTAAAATATCAATTTTGTTATTTACATTTAGATCTTTAATTATTCTTACCTTTGTTTTACCAATATTCCCTTTCCAATGATACTTCCTCAAAATTCTGTATTTACTCCGAAGTTTTTCTGCATTTTAAATGTGAAGTATGAAGGCTGAATTGCACTTTTTGTATCTTTGTTCCTAGAAATGGTTCAAGGAAACAGTTCAGAAAAATTAAATTATTCATCTGCACTTCAAAAAGTACAAAAATTCTCTTAATTGAAGCAAATTTTCCTGATGAACTTCTCTTTCCCAAGGTTCTTAAACTTCTAAATAGAGTCATTTGTTTGAAAAACTGAGACCAAAAGCTACTCCTTACTAAGATAGCAAGATAAAAGTGTTTTGGAAAACTGCCTCAATTCTTCACTAGGCTGTTAGTGGCAGCCGAACACTTTGATCAGAAAGGTTTGAGTAGTAAAAAGTAAATAACCTCAAGTACTACACTTTTTCCTATGTTGGAAAAAGTGTATCAAGAATTTTTATGAGACTTTATGAGCATTTAAAAGTATATTCATCTGTGTTTTTGAAATTTCTAGAAAGAAACTATTTCAGGATATTATAACAATTAATTATTTTATGTGATTTTCCCCATAATGAATATGTGTTGCTTTTTCTGCATTTTATTTATAAAAATAAAATTTTTCTATTTTTCTATATGGGTGAAAATTCACATTTTCTTTTTTCTSATTTTTTATACTAATTATTGTGCATATTAATTGTATAAAATAATTGGGTTTTGTGATTTCCATATAAGCATATAACATTTTGTATCCTCAAATGGTTCTTAATGGCTTATAATAAAAACCATCATCCTTAAGTCACATCAGTCTCTGYCCTACTCCTTTCCACCTATTTTGCCCCATATTCCCTACAACACAGCTGTATGTTCTTCAATTCCTAATGGAACCCATATTCCAATGTTACTTAATTTTCAGTTTTAGATATTGCTTATTGACACCTTGTCATGGTATTGGAAAATAACACGCTGTTTACACACCAGCATCACCACCACTTTGCCCACACCCTTGGCTTGACACATCACATTCAGTAAACAATAATTAGAGTTTACATCATTCATAACAAAATGTAAATATAATGGCATTGCTGAATCAAGTAGTGTGCCATAATAATACTTTTCTTGAAAATCTGTTCCTGGAGTTAACAATTGCCTTGCTTTTTCACTTTTAAAATAATCTAAACCTAAATTTTGTCTAAAATCCTTCATATATCTATCCAATGTCCATTAATAATACCTTTCAATGCCCAAACATGACTGAGTTTACTCTTATTTTGCTGCAGTAGACTCCAGTGGTTTACTCAGAGGGGATACATAGGGAGAAAATATTTACTTCCATGTCTGAAAATGCATTCTGTTCTTATTACTGATTGATAATTTAGATAGGATTGAGTTCAATTTCCTATAGACTGTAAAAACATTATTCCACTTTTACTTTTAATGCTGCTATTGAAATGTCTAATGTCTTTCTAGTTTCCAATTCCTCTGTATTTGATCTGTTTTTCTTTCTAGAATTTTCCCTGGTAGTCTAAAGTTTCATAATGATGTATTTTAGAATAGGTCTTTAAAAAAACAATTGTATTGAACATTAAATGGTCTTTTATCTGCAATTTTTTCTTATATTTCTTTAATAATTTCCTCCCTACCTTTTTTCTCTGTTCTCTCCTTGTGAATTCTTGTTAATAGGCTAGTAGACTATCCACATTAATTCTCTAAATTTGTTATCCCTTTATTCTACTGATCATCTCTGCATCTTTCTTTCCCATGGTCTGAGACAGAAACTGTCAAAGGGAGGAGTTGAAAGGTCGATTTCTCTGCCCTAGGGCAATGTGACAATGTCTGTAGATAATTTTGGTTGTCACCACAGGAAAGAGCAGATGCCTTGGCATACAATGAGTAGAGGCCAGAGTGGTTGCTAATCATTTTACAATGCACAGAACAGCCCCCACAACAACAACAACAAAAATTCCCTGCCCCAAATGTTCATAGTGAGAAATCCTGGGCCAGGAGAATGCCTTAACTTTATCTTCTAATCTTCTACTAAAGTTCTGTTCCAAACATATATTTAATTTTCAAGGGTTCTTTCAATTCTTTAGTTAGCCCTTTTATTGTGGGAACTCTCCATGGAAGAATAAATCCTTTCTCCAGAGAAGAAACATTAATCTCAGAGGGGTATTATAATGATGGTGGTACCATTAGGGTATAGTACCTGAGTCCAGTCTGGCTATATGAAGGACCAGGGGGTTCAGAGTTTAGTAAAGCAATCACTTTAGAGCAAACCTCCTTCAGTTTAATGCCCCACCCCTCCCCTCCACAGTATACCCCACAGCCAAGTRCTATCTCCTCTAAACACTTACTTTAGTCCCTCTTACACTTGGCCAAGCCAATTACCACTAATTAACCCAACTTCAGCTTCCAAAATACATTGAAATCTTTCATCTCTTGGAGATTTTTTCTCCATCCTTAAAAAGAAAAGTAAATAATTCTTATAAATGAAACAAAGTTTTCCGATGAATACTCTCATTTTATTGCTATTTGCAAAGATCACTTCCATAATATTTAAAAATGAGGGTCTTATTTTTGTATTATAAAAAATTAATAACAGAAAGGAATCCAGAACGATGGCATGGGAAGAACCACAGTTCTGTTTTTATTTTTAATTTCCAACTTATTTTTTAATTGTGTCAAAAATTATTATGTTTTTTTTAGATTTATTTATTAGTTGAAACTGATGTTACCAATCACTATTTATATGATGTGTAACTTTTAGATCAATTTGTTAAATATCCTTCCAGATACTTTTCTATACATACTTGCAAATACTATAAGGTTTCATAGGAAAAAATGGGAGGGGGGATTAAAACAGTACATTATTAGACATGTAGGAATTTTACCATTGGAACAAATTTTCAGTTTTCAGATAAGGCAAAATAGTAATGTGTTGAGAAAGTAAATTTAAAACTCAAAGCCAGCTCCAGATTTAATGGGAAACACTAGAAGAGCCTGGCTCAAGT